GACCAGTAATATTTGGGGTCACTAGTTTTTGCCGTGGATATTTTGTGGGTCAGAAGATCAAAAGTTTGGGAACCACTGGTCTAGAGCCCTGATGAATGTCTTAAGTGTAAAATGACTTGGGGTCCAAGTGGATTTGGTAAGATGCCATATAAGTTCAAGCCATTTTACCATAAATGAAATTATCGGGACTTCTGGTGACAATGTGGTGAGGAACGGACGTATTCTGAAGAGCCAGAGCTGACAACGGCCAGTGTTCCGCTTTTATTCTCCATCAAGAGGCTAAATCTTTCTGAGTGAGGTGCAGCTTAATCAGCATGGATCAAACTCACACCTAAAGATCACCACGGGCCCTAAAATTGAACAAATGATGCTACAGTTGTGGTCAAAAGTTTACATACACTTGTAAAAAAACATAATGTTATGGCTGTCTTGAGTTTTCAATAAGTTCTACAACTCTTATTTTTCTGTGATAGAGTGATCGGAACACATACATGTTTGTCACAAAAAACAGTCATAAAATTTGGTTCTTTCATAAATTTATTATGGGTCTGCTGAAAATGTCACCAAATCTGCTGGGTCAAAAATATACATACAGKAACAAAATTGGTCAATTTTGGTGATGTAGCYAGTTGTGTCAATCAAATTAGCTTCATGTCATGGCCTCTTCACTTCTTGTAAGTGATTCTGATTGACTACAGCTGTTGACTTCTCATGAGCCCATTTKAATAGGGCTCATTTGACCCAGTGATTAGAGTCAGCTACAAAAGCTACAATGGGAAAGRCAAAGGAACTCAGTGTGGATCTGAAAAAGCGAATTATTGACTTGYACAAGTCAGGGAAGTCACTTGGAGCCATTTCAAAGCAGCTACAGGTCCCAAGAGCAACTGTGCAGACAATTATACGCAAGTATAAAGTGCATGGAACAGTTGTGTCACTGCCACGATCAGGAAGAAAARGCAAGCTATCACATGCTGCAGAGAGGAGATTGGTCAGGATGGTCAAGAGTCAARCAAGAATCACCAAGAAGCAGGTCTGCAAGGATTTGGAAGCTGATGGAACACAGGTGTCAGTCTCCACAGTCAAGCGTGTTTTACATCGCCATGGACTGAGAGGCTGCCGTGCAAGAAAGAAGCCCTTGCTCCAGAAAAGGCACCTTAAGACTCGGCTGAAGTTTGCTGCTGATCACATGGACAAAGATAAAACCTTCTGGAGGAAAGTTCTCTGGTCAGACGAAACAAAAATTGAGCTMTTTGGCCACAACACCCAGCAATACTGTATCTCAATCCTGAGCTATGGAACATGGAGCAACCCACTGAGGTTGAGGCAGGCTTGTAGGTTATAAACGAACTTCGCAACATGAATCGGGATCTTCAAGACAAAATACAACAAGTTGGGACTGACATGACTACCATTAAAGACTGCCTAGATTCACTGAAGTCTGATGTTGGCAACAGAATCGGGGAAGCTGTAAACAGAGTGTTGCAATTTGAAGATGAGAACGTGGAGCTCATTGAGGTTATAGCTGAGTTGAAGTTACACAGTTACACCAAAGTTACACAGCTGAAAGCCTGAGTACAATACCAAGAAAACTACAGCAGAAGAAACAATCTGAGGATTAAAGGTATCCCGGAGTTTTCGTTGAAAGGTAAAAGTGTACTGGATGTCATGGAGGTACTGCGATCGAGAGGGCTCACAGAATACGCGCTACACTACAAAAATAAAATAAATAAAATAAAAACCTGGACATGTCAGCTTGACCCTGCCATATCCTGGTGAGACTCCTTTGCTTTGCTGACAGGAAGGAAATACTACTTAGAGCTAAAGACACTGGAACTTTTCAGTGGTTGTGACGGCAACCCTCGAACCTGCCAGTGGACACCGATAGTGAGGGATGCTGTCAGGCTGAGGAAGGAGTCCTATTGGGTGTTTTTGGCCTATGGGACTCCGGAAGCAGCTGATATGTATCGGCAGTCCAAGCGGATTGTGGCTCAGGTAGTCGCTGAGGCAAAAACTCGGGCGTGGGAGGAGTTCGGAGAGGCCATGGAAAAAGACTTCTGCATGGCTTCAAGGTGATTCTGGTCTACCCTCCGGTGTGTCAGGAGGGAAAGCGGTTCACCACAACACTGTTTATGGTGGGGATGGTGCACTGCTGACCTCAACTCGGGACGTTGTGGGTCGGTGGGCAGAATACTTCGAAGACCTCCTCAATCCCAACATGTCTTTCCATGAGGAAGTAGAGCATGAGGACCCTGGGTCAGACTCTCCAATCTCTGGTGCTGAGGTCAATGAGGTGGTTAAAAAGCTCCTTCATGGCAAGGCGCCGGGGGTGGATGAGATTCGCTCGGAGTTCCTTAAGGCTCTGGATGTTGTGGGGTTGCGTTGGTTAATAAGACTTTGCAGTATCGCGTGGACATCAGGGGCAGTTCCCATAGATTGGCAGACAGGGGTGGTGGTCCCCCTATTTCAAAACTATAGGGGGGATCATACTGCTAAGCCTCCCTGGTAAGGTCTATTCAGGGGTCCGTCAAATAGTTGAATCTAGGAAGAACAATGTGGTTTTCGTCCTGGTCGTAAAACAGCGGACCAGCTCTACACCCTCAGCAGGGTCCTGGAGGGTGCATGGGAGTTTGCTCAACCAGTATACATGAATTTTGTGGACTTGGAGAAGGTGTTCGACCATGTCCCTCTGGGACTCCTGTGGGGGTACTCCGGAAGTATGGGGTACCAGGCCTGTTAATACGGCTGTAAGGTCCCTGTACGACCAGTTCCAGAGCTTGGTCCGCATTGCCGGTAGAAAGTCGGACTCATTTCCAGTGAGAGTTGGACTCCGTCAAGGTTGCCCTGTGTCACCGATTCTGTTCATAACCTTTATAGACAGAATTTCTAGGTGCAGCCAAGGTGTTGAGGGGATCCGTTTTGGTGACCTTAGGATCGTATCTCTGCTTTTTGCAGATGATGTGGTCCTATTGGCTTTATCAAATTGTGATCTCCAGCTCTCACTGGAGTGGTTCACAGCTGAGTGTGAAGCAGCCAGGATGAGGATCAGTGCCTCCAAATCCAAGACCATGGTCTTGAGCTGGAAAAGGGTAGGGTGCCTCCTCCGGGTCGGGGAGGAGGATTTGAATCAAGTGGAGGAGTTTAACCCTCTGAGGTCTGGGGTCTAAATGGCCGTTTTTGACTAACTTTGAATTTACCTCTATATTTTCGCTTTAAAAACTTTAAAAAAGATTCTTAGGTTTATTTTGATACCAAACATGTCCAGGTTCAACTGACAGATCTTAAGTCAAAAGAAGTTTAAAAAAATATAGAAAGCCATCCAGCTTTCTGAGGCCCCCTGGTGACCCCCATTTTGAGAACCCCTGCTCTACAGCAKTGTTTGACTAGGCTCTCCACAGTTTCAAGGCTTTTCCACTAGCAAGGATTTGTGGAACCAGTGGCCTACTTTGTAATTCAGCTTCAGAATGAACATATCACAGCCATGCAATATTATGTAATATACTGTATCATGTAATATGTAAGCCTAGCAATATTACCATCAAATTCCCTATCTTGTGTTGACACATCCTTTTTTGGTAGCCACATATTTCAAAATAAAAGCCTTTGAATAATTTGAAAATTCTTTTCCTGTATACATCATTATTTTGGATGCTCCTAGTGCCTCAGTCACTCCATCACCATCAATGGTCCATACATTTGCATAGTCCTCTTTGCTCTATGACTGATGTCGCAGCAAATAAAGCACTACCTACTGATATCTGTTTGACAAAACATGGCTTTAACCTTCAAGGTTTTTGTAAACCTAGAAAAATAAATCCAATGTAGTTACTTTGCAGCAGAAGAGTATTAGCACATCTCAAATGAAGTAGTCATAATTTTTTCTATACTTTCAATTTATCCATTTTTGAAAGCCTTCTCTCAAACCAGAAATTTTTTTTTTTTTGATTTTGTACAGCTTTAATGTTTTTCTTGTTTGTTTGTTCTCTTTTTCCTGCAGAAAAAACATCTGCAATCAAGACACAGATGGTGAAATAAACATTCAGAAAGCCAGTGGAGCTTTAATCTCAGACAAAGACAGAGAACTGGAAACTCTGAGGAATGAGGTACTCACACATGTATTTAAACTCATTAATCTTGTTAAATCTCTACTGAGCCCGTCCGGTGACATGGAACAAAAAAAATATCATGTGAGATAATAAAGCGTGCCCACACCATGACTAACGCCTGCGTGCACACACGATAATTATGTCGTGGCCACCACATAGCTAATTATTGTTGTCATTTCCATGCAGACTGTTTGTTGTTTACATGGAGTCTGAATTCAATTAATTAATTTTTATTTAAATAGAATGAATTATGTAGCTATGAAGTAGCTATTTCTTAGCTTTACGCACCCCATATATATACAGTATATACCAGTGTAAATATATACTGTATACATATATAT